TTTTTTTTTTTTTTTTTTGATGGAGTCTCGCTCTGTCTCCCAGGCTGAGTGCAGTGGCTCCATCTCGGCTCACTGCAACCTCTGCCTCCCAGGTTCGAGACAGTCTCCTGCCTCAGCCTCCCAAGTAGCTGGGATTACAGGTGTCCGCCACCACGCCCGGCTAATTTTTGTATTTTTAGTAGAGACAGAGTTTTGCCATGTTGGCCAGGCTGGTCTTGAACTCCTGACCTCAGGTGATCCACCCACCTTGGCCTCCCAAAGTGCTGGGATTACAGACGTGAACCACCGCGTCTGGCCCACTCATATTTTAAGAAACATGGAACTAAGGGACTTAAATAGCATTGGTTTCTGCCCTACCGTCTCCCATTTCTGACAATCTCATGTGACTCCCAGCCAGTATCCCCTTGCCCTGGGTGGATCTGAAGGACTTGGGGAGGGGGCGCTGCGGCCCTTGGGAAATTCAGAGCAGCTGCATCATTTCTTCTGTGTTCTTTAATCCAGGGCCCAAGTGGCCTTTTGTGGGGAGAGGCAGCAGACTTGGGTTTGAGGTTGGAAAAAGAGGAATCCCTTCCTTTTGAATTGAGATTGTTTTTCATTCTACAAGTAGCTTTTATTTTATTTGAAATTTGAATTTCTTTTAAAATGGTAAAGTGTACCAACTTTGCAGAAAGGGGTAAAAAGTCACCTACTGACTGAACACAGCTAGTACCCATTTGAGCGCGTCCTTGCAGTCTTTTGAAATACGTATATGGGTTACACCGCTGTAAACATGTGCTTAGACCTTGCAATTCATAAATATGTTTCTATTATCTGATGTGAGCTCAGAACACATTAAGAGGGTCAGGGTTGTGAAGCAGGCAGGACAGGAATTATCTAACAAACTTTTCAGATGAGAAACTGTGGCTCAGGTATGGAATCTTGCTAAAATCACACACCGAAACCAGTTCTCTCCACTGTGTCACAGTGCTTCTGTGTTAGAGCCCAGGTTACAAAACAAAGTGTACATGGGAACAGACTATTAGCAACTTATGTTTTACAAAGTTTATATTTCCTGATATATATTTATTGAAAAAAAAAGAAAGATACTTAAGGCCAGGCGAGGTGGCTCACTCCAGTAATCCCAGCAAGACCATCCTGGCCAACATGGTGAAATCCCATCTTTACTAAAAATACAAAAATTAGCCTGGCGTGGTGGCACGCACCTGTAGTCCCAGCTACCCGGGAGGGTGAGGCAGGAGAATCACTTGAACCCGGGAAATGGAGGTAGCAGTGAGCTGAGATTGTGCCACTGCACTCCAGCCTGACAACAGAGCAAGACTCTGTCTCAAAAAAAAAAAAGAAAAAAAACTTAAAAAGCACAATACATAAGAGTCCCTGGTAATCCCGCTCCTACAGAAAACCCCCATAAACCACACAGGCTTTGTCAGCTTTGACTTGTTCTGTGCATATCCATCCTAACATAAATTTTGTCTATTTTCTAAAAATAGAATTTTTTCATAAACACCGTTTTTGACTTTTTTCCCCCACTAATATATCTTGAACATCTTTCCAAGGACAGAGCTTCTAAAAACACATTTTAGTAAAGCAAAAGATTTTTTTTTGAGTCAGGGTCTCACTCTGCTGCCCAGGTTGGAGTGCAGTGGCACAATCACTGCTCACTGCAGCCTCCACCTCCTGGGCTTCAGTGACCTTCCCACTTCAGCCTCCTGTATGGCTGGAACTACAGGTGTGCGCCACCATGCCTGGCAAATTTTTGTATTTTTTGTAGAGACTGGGTTTTGCCCATGTTGCCCAGGCTGGTCTCCAGCTCCTGGGCTCGAGCAGTCCGCCTGCCTGTGCCTCCCAAAGCCCCTTGCCTCTACTGGCTGCGGCAGTAGTATCTGGGGAAAGGAATTATTCATTTATTCATTTCTTCATTCATTCAACACACATAACTAAGGAAATGTTATTTTTTCAAAGGAGAGGCTAGCTCCTGAGTACTCAGAGCACGTATTTCCCTGGGAAGACCTAGAAGCACTGGCTGGGAAACGTAGGCAGTTCCCAGCAGCATGGTCAGCTCTCTAGGCCAAGGGAGGAAAAGAGGAGAAGGAAGGGTCTTGGAGGCAGAGCACATTAGGTGGATGGGGTGGGGCCTGTTTCCTGGGTGGGTCCTGCTCGTCCTTCCCCGGTTTGCCCTTTCCTGTCAGTTCTCTGGCAGCAGACTGGGTCCTGGCCCAGGACTTCCCTCCAGCCACACTTGCCTCCTGTCCCTTTCAATCTGCCTCAGCCCCTAGGTAGGAGCTATTGGAGCTGGGGGTGAGAGGCCGCGGGCAGGGGCGGGTTTGCCTGTGCAGTGCAGGAAAGAGTGGCGCAGGTTTATGCCTTTTTTCTCTAAGTCCTGTAAGTCTCTGGGACACAGTGGGTTTGTAGGCCTCTGTTTAGAATGTTCTTCTTCCCCCCAGCCTTAGAGCTACTTCGCTTCTCCCATGTTTAGATTTTTTCACACCCCACTTCCCCATGAGCTGAGGGAGCTCCACCAGGCGCACAACTGCCCCCTTCCCTCTCTGACCCTGGCCCAGCCTACGTCCCAGAGGCCAGCACCGTTGGCTCTGTTGAGAAACTAGGACTCTCAACCTGGAGCTGACCCTGCAGGGATCCCAGTTGGAGGATTCCAAAGGACCCACTCACCCCTGCTTAGATCAGAGCCCACTCTGGTCCCCCACCATCCCAACCCTCAGGGAGACCTCCCTATCCCAGATTACATCGTTTCTTAAGGAAGGTCTCTGGACCTTTCTACCTCTGTAACCCAGAAGACAGGGAACACCCTCATCCATCACACGCCTTCTAAGTAACGTACGTGTTGACTGAGTCTGCTTGCAGACTACATCCCCTCCAAGGGCATTCTCAGCCATCCAATGGCTGCTGAGACAGGCAGGTGGGATGAATATGACATTTGGCACCAAAAGACCCAGGTTCGAGTTTTCACTGTGCTCCATCTGTGAGACCCAAGGAAAACACCCCTCTCCCTCTGAGCCTATTTTTCACCAGTAAGATGGAGGTTGCGACCCCCTCTATGTCTTGGGCTTGTTTTGAGGGTCACATGAGATGGTGTGAATAAAGAGTATTTTATCAAGGGAGGGAGAAGGTAATATGGGCAAGGGGTAAAAGAAATTCAAACTGTGATGGGCGTGGTGGCTCACGCCTGTAATCCCAGCACTTTGGGAGGCTGAGGCAGGCAGATCACCTGAAATCAGGAGTTAGAGACCACCCTGACCAACATGGAGAAACCCCGTCTCTGCTAAAAATACAGTGTTGGCATGTGCCTGTAATCCCAGCAATGCGGGAGGCTGAGGCAGGAGAATCGTTTGAACCCGGGAGGCAGAGGTTGTGGTGAGCCGAGATCACGCCACCGCACTCCAGCCTGGGCAACAAGAACAAAACTCTGTCTCAAAAAAAAAAAAAAAAAATTCAAACTGTATAGAAAGATATATAATAAAAAGTCAGTCCTTTCCACCCTCAGTCCCCTGGATCCCAGGTCCCCTTCCCGGAGACAACCACCATTACCAGGAACATTCAATGTATACGAAAGCAGAGAAGCCTCCGTGCCCTCACACGTACTGTTTTGTACTAGAACACGTTTGCAGATGGCCCTCTATCAGCACACACAGAGCTGCCTCCTTTTTAGCAGCTGCCTGGCATTCCATTGTGCACATGTACCCAAACCAATTTAGCCCGTTCCAACCCTGCCGATGGACACTCGGGTTGTCTCCCGCTGTTTGCTATTCCAGACAGTGCTGGAGTGAGTATCGTGTGACATTGTTCTCGTGCTCACACCTGAGAGCATCTGTGGGTTAGAGCCCTAGAAGTTTCGATGTTGAGATATTGCCAACGTGCCCTGGACAGATGGTGTACGGGCAGGGCCACCCTCAAGGCAGGAGTGCCTTCCCCCATTCCCCCATCCACATGGGCTGTTCTTTGTCTTTTTTTTTTTTTTTTTGAGACGGAGTCTCCCTCTGTCACCCAGGCTGGTGTGCAATAGCGCGGTCTCGATTCACTGCAACCTCTGCCTCCCGGGTTCGAGTGATTCTCCTGCCTCCGCCTCCAGAGTGGCTGAAACTACAGGCATGTGCCACCATGCCCAGCAATTTTTAGTATTTTTAGTAGAGATGGGGCTTCACTCTGTTGGCCAGGCTGGTCTCAAACTCCTGACCTTGTGATCTACCCACCTCAACCTCCCAAAGTGCTGGGATCACAGGCGTGAGCCACTGCGCCTGGCCCACATGGAGTGTTATTAAACCTTCTGATTTTCACCAATCTAACAGGTGAAAATGGTATCTTAGAGTTTTAATTCGCATTTCTTTTATCATGAGCCACCCTCCCTGTGGACCCTCTGCGCACCTCACAGTTGCCCGCTCTCCTCTTCCCAAGGCTCATCACGCTTCCCAACGGCATCCTTCAGATCCTGGATGTTCAGAAGGGTGATGCGGGCTCCTACCGCTGTGTGGCCACCAACTCAGTTCGCCAGCGCTTCAGCCAGGACGCCTTACTCAGTGTGGCCCGCAGAGGTAAGGAGGCTGGCTGGGTGGGCAAACCTGGGGGTTTCTGCAGCCGGCCACTTCAGAGCTGGGAGGGACCTCAAGTAGGTGATGGGTGTTAGTCCCATTGGCAAGTGAGGTGATGAGGCCGAGAGGGCACTGCCACCCAGCAAAGTGGAGGAGAACTGGGCTGGAATACAAGACCCCGGGCTCCGGTGCGGGGCTCTTCTCTTCATACAGAGCCTGTGTGCCCTCGGGTGGATGGAGCATCGAAGGCTGGGGACACAGGTGGGGAGGTGGGGCATCTGAGGGGGTGTCAGCGCCCAGAAGCCCTGGTCCTTGCCCCTTTCTCTCCCACCCTTCTGTAATCACTGCGGGGTTCAGGCACTGGGGGATTCGTCCCTCTTTGCTTTCTGTGTCCTGCAAATCTGACCCCCTGTGGTCCAGCACTGCTGTCCTTTACTCTGTTTCTTTGAAAGGCTCTTGCCCCAGTGTGATGGAGTAGGAAGGGCACAGGGTTTGGGGTTGGGAATACCTGGTTTGAACCCTGGCTTCTCTGCTCACCACCTGCGTGGCCCTGGGCTCCCTATCAAATGTCCAGCTCAGAGACGCTCGCAGAGTCCTTGAAACAAGAATGGGAAGTGCCTGGCACCTGGCAGGTGCTCAACAGAGCCCACTTCAGACCTCCCCCAGGGCCCTCCCTTGCTTCCCTTTGCCAGTGATCCCTCCCCGCTCCCATTCCCCTCCCCGCACTCCCACCCGTTCCCACCCTGTTCCCCCTGAGCTTAGCTGGTGGGCTCCCCCAGCCGGGTGGCCTCTCTCTCCTGTTCTGGGGGTCTCTGCCTCCACCTGCTGGACAATCCAGATATTCACCACTCCACCCAGGGGACCAGGGTCACATGGAGAACTTGGCAGGAAATCGGGGTTTAGGGAGCTGCCACGCAGGCAGAACCTCAAGCCCACTGCCTGCCTTTTCCACTGGGGAATCCAAGACCCTTTGGTGAAGGGATTTGCCTAAGGCCACCCAGTGCGTTAATGGCAGTGCTGGAACTAGAAACGATGTTGACTCCAAGTCTGGTGCTTTGCCTGTGACCTTGTGACAGTCCTCTGCCTAGAGGGTGGGCTGCATTTGGGAGGGAAGAATGGAGGTAGTCGTGGGTCTGTCTAATCATTTCTCTGGTGCTGAGCTGAGGCTCAGGCAATTCTGGCTCCAAAAGAGAGAGCTTAGAGGTCCAGTCCCAGCCCTGCTGAAGTTTATAGCCACCATCCCCCGTCTGACAGATGGAACCATTGCTGCTGTCCCCGTACCACCTCACCAGGTTACTGTGAGCCTCCGGCGAGGTATTGCATGGCAAATGCCTAATGGTAAGCCTGCCTGCTGGTCTGTCTTTTTCTCCAGGGTCCCTGGCATCCACCACAGGGCAGGGCATGGTCATTGTGGCAGCCCCAGAGAACACCACTGTGGTGTCTGGCCAGATTGTGGTGATGGAATGTGTGGTCTCAGGTGACCCCACCCCTCTTGTGTCCTGGATCCGAAAAGGTGAGTGGAGGGAGTGGAAGGTGGAGGGAATGGGAAGGGAGGGATGTGGCATCTCGTATACCCCTAAGTCAGCGGGATTTATGGGTGACCCGTCAGTGGTCACCAACCCTCTGGTGTGGCAGGAACGCCCTTCCCAGGGCTGGCTGTGGTGTACAGGGCCAGAAGTTGCGCTGGGTACCTGGACAGGCCTTATCATCACTCTGTGTAGCATGTACTTTACAAAAGCACCTCCGAGCTGCCACTGACAGAATGGTTATTGCAGCCCTCCTGAGGGCAGGCGCTGGACTAGGCTCTCCGCCTTAGGTGTTTCTGTTCCTCACACCAGAGTTACAAGTGAGCACCCGAGAGCTGGGAAGGTGCCACACAGCCAGCGAGTCGGGCCGCGTAACAACCAGGCCAGCGCTGGGTCCACCCCAGCACGATGTTGCCTTTGTGTGCCTCGCATCATGCTGGGGACAGTGAACAAAATACAGAGAGGGGGGACCCTGCCCTCTGAACTCATTGTCTTGTGAAGGGGAGAAAACACACATCCGTGCAGAGGGCTCTGACGAGTGAGAAGTGCCACTGAGTGCCTGGAGATGCCAGCAGGGTCGTGCCAGTGCTGGGCCAAACGTCATGAGCAGTCTCCTGAGCACTTTCACACCTGCTCTGCTGTCAGAGCCTCCAAGAGCCCTTTGGGGAGAGTAGGGGCCAGTACTATTATTCCTAGTGGGCAGATGAGGAAACTGAGGCTCAGAGAGGCAGGTGGAAGAGCCAGGACCAAGCTTTTGAGTCTGTTCTCTTTCTGGTATGCCACCTCCCATAATCCTGCAGTAAGAAAGCAAGGGTTATTTTTGTTTCCATTTGTCGTCAAAAAGTGACTTGGCAGAAGTCAGTTTTAAATCTAGTTTTCTTTACCCCTTTCCCCAGCTCATTCTATTGCCCTATACGTATTGTTTAAAAATCAGTTTATGTATCATATATCATGGATAGATATAGTTTAAAGAAAATGGATTGAATAGCTATTAATAGGTACCCGTCACTGAGCTGGTGACATAGAAGAGCACTGGTATTTTTGCACCTATCTGACCCACTCTGCCTCGTTAGACCTGTGACACTTGCCTACTTAGGGGGCCAGCAGGATCCTCGTATTACTGGGATAAACTTGTGGTGTCACCTAGAAGTTCTAATGTCAATACTTCTTAACTCCTGACCGTGCGTCAGGGTCGCCTAGGGGACTTGTTGAAACTGTAGACTCCTGATCTCCATTCCTATCTGTAGGATTGCATGAAAAAATAACAGAATAAAACTGTAGACCCCTTTCTTCACCCTGGAGAGTCACGATCTTTTTTTTTTTTTTGAGCCTGTCACTCAGGCTGGAGTCCAGCGGTGCAATCACAGCTCACTGGGGCCTCCCCTTTTGCCGGCTCAGGTGATCCTCCTGCCTCAGCCTCCTGAGTAGTTGGGACTAGGCATGTGCCACTATGCCCATATTTTGATTTTTGTAGAGACAGGGTTTCTACTATTTTAGAAAAAAGGTGGAGGTTGCGGTGAGCTGAGATCACGCCATTGCACTCCAGACTGAGCAACAAGAGCAAAACTCCGTTTCAAAAAAAAAAAAAGAAGAAGAAAAGAAAGAAAAAGAAAAA